CTGTGGTTGGCCTTGTAAGCGTTTTCTAGTTCCGCCTCGGTAGCAAAGAGTTCAAAGTACGGCGGGCTGCTAAAGAGAAAATGCTGCCTTCAGTATGTGTGGCTTAAAAATAATAATGTAGTGCCTGTACCATGTAGCAGCTACTGATCTTGCCTAAGACTGAAACAAGCAATATGTAACAACAAACATTTATGCTCATTCAATTACAAATAATGAACGAAATAACACAACATATCACTGATGAGTGATGATACTACCCGCCAGTTGACTCCGATATTTCCACGTGTTTGATTTGAACCCCAAAATCTAAATGCTGATCTTTTTTTTAACGTAATAATTGGTTATTGGAACCATCAGCCATAACATTCTAGGCGGATTACTCCAGCATATTTTGCCACGTGCAGATGAGAACATAATGCAAAGCAAACAGCTCCCATGCATCTCTCCATCAAGAGCAGTGCGAGTCTGAACCTGCGCTGCACTCTAGCGAGTGTATCCATAGCAGCCACCATGAAGGCATTCACGGCGGTCGTATTCGGCGTCGCTCCATAGATGGACGTCAGCGGCAAGAAATTGGTGGTGTTGTAGAGGCTGGCAGAGGGGTAGCTGGGAATAACGGGCAGCTCATCGACCTTCTGTGTCATTCGCACTGCCACTAGGATGGCGATGAAGAGAAGTGGCGTGTAGATCTCCTGTGAACGAACGAGAAACACCATCGTGGCAAACATGTTATAAAGTAATAGGATCTCACATTTACACTTACAGGCTCTGCAATGTCATGTAATTTCCAGTGGCTCTTATACATTGTCCATTGCAGGGTAAAAAATACACGGGAGCGATGAGCGATTCGCTCTTCAAACCTCCGAAATCGCTGCCGCAAAACAAATTACGAGAGCGAAAAAAATAAAATTTGAAAAAAATCGCTCTCGTAGCTGGGAGATCTGGCAGATGTGCGAGTTGAAAAATGCGAGCTGCGAGCTGCGAGCTGAAAAAAAAACAATGCGTCTAAGCAAACAATGCGAATGAAACAATCAGTGCAGACAAATTCTCACACTAGGGGCATAGCGTACCTAGGGGCGTAGCTACCGTAGCACTATAGGGACCAAGTCTGCTAGCTGTCATTAGGTGCCCGATTAGGTGAATTTCACAACACGGAACAACCATGTTGTAATTAGAATGACTCCATTTTTACATTCGCCCTCTTTCGGGAATCACTATACAACTAATGTATATATTTTCACACAGTGCCCAGAGTGTTTAAGCATGTTTTAACATTGCGGCACAACATGGTAACAATGACAACTGCGATGTGCTATAGCAAGACGATATAATTACCAGAAATGCCATCGAAATTTGTGAGAACAGGTCCAGTGGTATATCCAACCCTTGGTGCACCTGATTATTCATCTAAGAGTGTCATTTTGCCAACAACTTGGGCTCACCGCAATCAAGACTTGCATCATGAACCCAGCTAATATAACCTATGTAATACCCTAACACACTACCCAATATAGTAGCATAACTTAGTGCACGACTAACGAGACCGATATCAGCCAAACAGATTTATCGAACCTTTGAAACTCTTGCTGACATTCACGATCCGGATTGCCGCCTTATCTTTTAGTTCCTCAGGGATTGGCTCGATGTCTCTGTCAATGTTGGCCGCGTCGGTGTAGTCCACGGCGGGGACAGATCTCAGCAGGCTGCTAGTCTCTCCTGGCCTCACGGATGGGAACCAGTACGATCGCTTCAGGCAGAACAACGGATGCAGCCTCTGTCCATACTCGCCTAGAGAAACAAGAGTGCAGCTCACTGTAGGTACCGTGTCCATGCCAGGGAAAAAATATAATTTTTTTTCGAGGACTCAAATTCTCGGGGGCTCATTTTTTCATTTTCGGGGGGTACTTTTGACATTTCAAGGGCTACTTTTTAATCGTCAAATTTAGGAAATTATTGCATTCCCAATGCCTTATGGTTCTCGAGTTTCCACTGGAACAGTCGGAAATATCACTTTCATAATACGCATGAAAAAATCACCCTCATCATCAATATTTCAGGGGCGATTTCGAACCTAATGAGGGCAAATTCGCCCGCCGTCCCAATGCATTTTATTCGCTGGTAAATGCCAACAAGAAATGGGGAAGAGATGTTCGTACCTATTGTAGACTGTTTTTTAGTTAGTCTTTTTAGTGCTTTGCTAATTAAGTGACCCCTACACACGTGGAATATAATGTATACATCAAACGTCATTAAAGTGGCATTGATAACTCATCTTTGAAGGAAACGTTGATCTTGGTGCCCCTAAAACTTCCCGTGGTATCCTAAAATTTCTAAATGAAACCAAAAGTAACACGTATTGCATCTGAAAAATCAAAATCCCACAGCTTCTCGCCCTACGCACCTGGAATGATGTTTTCAAAGTAAGCAGCCAGCAGCAGGTAAAGCAGCGTATCAACAGCCATCATGATAAGACAGTTGGAGAACGGAAATATTCCCTCATTCACATTGTCCAGATTCACGCCTCCGGATGTTGTCTCCAGGAGGACAGCCTGGCATAGAGGAAAAACAACAGCAAAGATGAAGGTTTACATTTAAGGTGCCTATGTGCCTCACCAACACAACCAAATTTCGTTATTATTTTAAAGTATTATTATGTGCGTTGTATCGTACAATAAACATTTCCATAGTCAACTATATGTATGATCAGGAGTGAATAAAAACTGTTGTTGTTATTCATGCCTGATATGTACTATGTATAAATATATTTTTGAGAATGTAGTTTTGTTATGACAGTGTATCAGATTATGGCATATTTATCGCTACACATGCATGCACCCACGCACACACGCACGCACGCATGTGGGGAAAGACACTTGCGCACACACATGGACCCACGCACACATGCAGTACATTAGTAGTAACCACTTGACGACCTATTAACCTACATAAAAAATGTTACTACTCCAGTCGACAAGAGAGGGGGGTCCGATGGGTTACCAAGTTTACAAGTTACAATGTACAAGTTGCCATAGTTACCT